GCTGAGAGAAAGCAGCCTTGGTCTGTGCCTTACGTGGCTTCTCTCATTGCCTTCCCCAGCCTTGCCTTCTCCCCCTCGGTGAGGCTGTGGTCACCCTGTGTCAGCTCTTCCTCGTAAGCCCTGATATCCCTCACTCAGGAAGAGACGCTTGCGGGGTCTGTGGACACTGATAAATGACTTAAGAGGCAGAAGTGAAGCGGTGCCTTTAGTTTCTCCTATTCCCTTGCCCCCCCCCCCCCGATTTAGTCCCCCAAATAAGAAGATATGGCCAAAGTGGGATTTTTGCCATTTCCTTTTTTCTTTTCAGGGGCCAGTGCCATCTTTTCCTGTTATTCCTGTCCCTGAGGCTAGGGTTTGGGGCTGGAGCTGACTGGTGGTCAAACCTTCCAAACTTGGGACTTGTTAGATAGCTGGGATCCCCAATTACCCGTCTCTTGATTATAAGAAAATACCGGCATGCTGCTCCTTTGGCTGATAAAACTTGGGGAGGCATGGAGCAAACTCCACAAAGGACTTTGTTTCTGGGGAGTGAGTTCCTGAGATGGCTATGATGTAAACAGAAGAAAAGAGGAAACACTCTGAGCTGCAAGAGGCAGTGTGCAAGGTCAGGGGGAAATGCTTAGGATATCCTTGTGATCCAGTGGGTGGATGAGGGCAAAGAGCATTCCCTGTAAGAGCAGAGTCACTTCATGATGCTTTTAGCTCAACCAGACTACCCCGGGGGATTAAAAGCAGCTCACTGTCCTAGAAGGCTGGGTAACATTTACAATCCATCCCTGTTTCCCTGAGAGTGTATCGACTCCAGTGACCATGAGACTAAAAGAGAAGACAGTGGAAAAGATAGAAAACCAAGTAGACAGAGATCCCAACAAATAGCTACTTTATTTATGTGACAGATATTTACTGAGTGCCTTCTGTGTTCTACTGTGAATAGAGTGCCTATGGTGTGCCAGGTATATTTTGCATATTCTCATCTTTAATTTTCTTAACAACCCTTCATCATAGGTATTACTAGCTCCATTTTGCAGGCAAGAAAACTGAGGCTTTTAGATGTTAAAATTGACCAGAGTCATCCAGCTAGCAGGTGGCAGACCTAGGATTCAGATTCAGTCTCTCAGATTCCAAGGCCCATGTTTGTTCCCCTCAACCACGCTGCCTATCATCCCCAAAATACCTCCCTTACACAATGTGGTCTGCTGCTCCCCTCTGTAAGGGGATATGGGCCAGGACAGAGATGCTTTCCACCTCTTCTGCCCTCCTTGGTTTGAGGCCTTAGGTAAAGCTGTCATCTCCCTGCTGGCTCCCTACTACCCACTGCACTCTCCCTTGTCAGTTCCTCCAGCTCTGTGCCTGGGCTCCTGAAGCCGTGTCCCATGAAGAGCTTCCCACCTTTGAGGAGCAGTCTTGTCTGTTGGTTGGAGAGGAGAAGGGAATCCAAGAAGAAGGCTCCCAGCCAGGCCTTTAACCAAAGGAGCCAGAAGGAAACAGAGCAGCCTTCCATGGTCCCGAGCTTTGTGGAGGGATGTCTACGCTTCCCTCCTGTTCCTTAGCTGGTTCCATCCTAGAGCAGGAGGGGTGGCCCCCAGAGCTGCTGGTTCATTGCTCCTGAAGAAGGGCTCCCCTTTTTTTAACATCTTTATTGGGGTATAATTGCTTTAGGGCTCCCCTTTTTTGAGAAAAGTTCGGTGATGCTTGCCTTGCACTACAGTCCTCCTGCAACGAAGACGTCCTGTGCCAGACTTCATTCTCTCCAAGCCCTAGTGACTCATTCCCATGACATCCCTTTCTCCTAACATCCAGAAGGGAGAGAAGCCCTATTTCTCCATAGCCCTTTTGTCCAGCTTCCTCTCCTGCTTAGGTCTTGCTGTGAGGCCTCAACCAGAGCTCTGCCCAAGTTCTACATCCCCATCCCATAGTCAAACGTGCCTTGGCACAGACCCTTTAATGAAGGCACATCTGTACACTTAGGGGCACTGGGGGCTGGGGAAAGTTTGTGAATCTTAGATTTCAAACTCTGGATCACAATTATTTGGGAGACATCTGAATTCGAGGCTGCCCGAACCTGCTCTACCCCAGCTCCATCCTTTGGGAGTCGTGAGTTGCCATGTTCCAAAGCCACACACATGTGACTGGAAGGCAAAAGGAAAACTTGAGCTCGGACTCTTTCACCCTTGCCTTTTCATATCTCACAGGGGTCTTCTTCCCATAGGCACAGAATGTTCCCAAGCCTTTCCAAACTTCCTCTGATCAGTCCTGACCTCTTCGAACCCCCTTCACCTCATCCTGTTCCCAACCAGCTTTCTCACTCCCCACTACAGGAAGTTGACACCACCTACTCTCAAGCATCTACCCAGTGCGTCAGTGTCCCACCCAACTCTGAGGCCAGGAAGCTCCCACCGGGCAGGGGCAGCCTGCCCCCATCCCCTACAGAACGAGCAGCCAGCCCTTAGAGTCTAGAGTCTGTCTTTGCCCCTAGCCCTCCATACACTCTAGTCCAAACCCTTACTCTCACACTGTGGTCCAGGAAGCAGCAGCAGAGGCAGCACTTGGAGCCTAGTAGAAATGCAAGTTCCCAGGCCCAGCACAGGCCTCCCGAGTTAGAATCTGCATTACTCTGCACCTTAATGTATGAGAGGCACTGCTCTAAACAATGTGATCTGCCAAAAAGACACCCCCTCCTCATGCTTCCTCAATAGAGGGGGTGGAGAGTGGAGCAAGAGACAGTGAGGAAGCCCAGCCCTCACACAGTTGAGCAACAGTTTAGGCCTCACTGACAGTGGAGAGATGCTGGGGATGATCCAGGCACTCCCTAGAGAGCCCAGAGAGGCTGGTGAGGCCCAGGACCCTCAGCAGAGAGGAACAACCGTGGCAGAACCACCTGGGGAAATCCAAGCAGGGGATTGGGGGCAAAGGGTACACACGATGAGAAAGGGAGACGCGCCTGCCTTTGCGAGCAGTGGTGGGATGGTTCCCTCTTGGCTCCTACTACCATCCCCAGCCCCTGTCGGGCACCTACAGCTAAGAACAGCTCCTGCTGCGCAGGCTGGGTCTGCCAGATGCAGGGGTTTCTTCCCTCCCTCTTGCTGGCAAAGTCACCATCGCCCACCAGCTGCATTGCTGGTAGTGGGTGCTCAGGAAATGTTTGTTGAATTGGGAGGAAGCCACAGCTTGTGCGGAGACGTGGGCCTCAGGGGAGGGACGGGAACGGAGACTAAGTAGGAAAGACAAGTCCTGATGTCATACTTAGCTGGAGTTGCTGTTTCTCTGCCTCTTGGGTCACTGCCTGAGACCTTGCTCTGGCATGACACTGTGCAGGGAGGCGGTGGGAGGAGGAAGCTGGAGATGGCAGGAAACGACCCTGGGCGGCAGGCTCCCTCTGCCCCCGTTCAGGGCGCACTCCATGTCTGACCTGGGCATGGGGGACGAGGTCCCTGACGGTGGGCTCCTGCACCTGCTGTGGGGAGAGGAAGCTGGCCCC